TCACGATTGTGAATGAGGAGGGGGCGAGGTATGAAATGACGGTGAGTGGGTGGGGAGTTGGCTTTGTTTTGCTTGGTGAGAGGGGGACAGAGAGGAAATGTGTTTTCGACAGGGGGGATTCCTGGTTGAACACTGATCTCTAACCGTTCACAAATTAGTGCTGACCCCCATCATACCCTTTACCATCGCTTTACTAGCTCTTCCCAACCTGTCTCGAAACAGGTTCTAACCCCCCTCTGTCCATCTCCTTACCCTGCCCTTACCCTTTACCGACCCCTATCATTCGTACTAGTCCAAGCTGACAGCCTCTAGCTCTACGAATCCAACACGTCCAGACCACATCTTTACTGGTTCTCGGCCAAATTCTATAAACGCAAAGGTGACTCCTCCCCCCACTACTACCGCCCGAGCCCATGTTCGGGACTTTTCTGGCGCGAATACGTCCACTTCGAGACCTTCTTTCTCAAGAAGACGGGCATTCCCTGGGATAAGAGGCTCCTGCGGGGTTGGAAGGGCGGAAAGGGGAAGTTCTGGTATGAACCGCCGGTGAGTCCTCTGTTTGTGAGTATAATTGCCGCGGACGGGTGCTAATGAGTGTGTAGACGGGAGGAAAGCCGGTCGGATACGTGCCGGTGGAATACATGCCCGAGGAGACTGCGGAAGCTGAGTGGACGAATTGGGTGAGAAAAGACGGCCGGGAGGAGGGAGGTGGGAGAGGAGATCAGCTTGCTAGCACTCCGGCCGAGGACATCGCCATGAACTGCGACGAGATCGATAGCAGAGATACGGGTGGAAACAACACCAGCAAGGACAACGCCGAGGAGCAGCTCACTCAAACGAGGGAGGACGAAGGAGATGTCGCTCAAATACCCGCTGAGGGTATCTTCATAAGCGATAATACAAAAATGCGAGACTCAGATCAACGCAAAACCCCCGAGGAACAACACAGCAGAAACAATGACCGCGATCAAGATTTCCAAATTAGAATGATCTTCAAAGCACCACCAACCTCAATTTGTTTCCCCGCACTAGCGACTCACCAGTAACCTGACCTCCTCGACTGAAAAGCAGACAATACCCACCTGCAGGACATCGAGCTGGAGCTCGGAAGTGAGTCTGGATCCTGGACGACCGAGGTTCAACGGTTGAGTATTCACGTGAGATACTATCCGAGGGGTAAACGCGAAGGGGGCTCGGATGGAGACCATTGCTCCCTTTCAGACTTGGGAGGGAAAGACAGATGTTGTATGCCGCCACGGTTCACCAGATCCGAGAAGGGTACTGATATTTCGAAGCAAGGGGAAGGGGCGGTTACGGAATTCTTGGGCTTTAAACTTGCAACGGCACCGTATTTGGCGGCCATTTTCCCTTCTGGTAGAAGATGACATTTTTGAAGCGCAAGGTTACAAGCCACGAGTTACACGACAGTTAATCGTATCTTGCAAAGTTTCTGCTCGTTCACATAGGCACATAGGTACCTAACTTTACCCAAATCTCATATTATCATCAGCCAGCTCCGTGATATCCCTAAAGCCTCAACTTGGGCAACACAAAAACTAACAGCACCAAAACCACCATCAACCCATACACTTGCGCATACAACCTCATCCTCCCCCACCACCCCTCACCCTCCGTCATCCGCGTCAACAGGCCCATCCGCTGCGTCACGGCATCCATCCTCTCACCCGTCTTGTTCATCCCCTGCCCTGCCCGCTCTATCACCTCCTTATCCTCCTCAAGTGTCGATGTGAAGGCATGCGATGATGCCTTGAGATCGCTCGCGAGCTTGAGGATGGACTCAGAGAGGGCGTCCTGTTCGGCGCGCTGGTGGTCCAGGATGGCTTCGGCGGTGGCGGTGGCGGTGGCGGTGGCGGCGGATAGCTCTGTTGTGGCAGCGCGGTCGCCGAAGAGGGCGGAGCTGCTCGTGGTGGTAGCAGGTTTCTCGGAGGATGGGTCCTGTCGTCGGGGGCGGAGGGTTTGGGTTGTTCTCGTGGTGTCGGCGGCGGCAGGTTCTAGTGTTTGCTTTTCTGAGAAGGGAGGAGGGGAGTATGATTTTTGTTGAGTTGGTTGTTGTGCGGGCGAGATATGTTCGAGGTTGGGTATTGGGTCTACGGTGGATGCTGGGTCGCTCTCTTCCTCTTCGGGCTGCTTTGGGGAAACCTCTGGGGATCTGGACGAGTCGAGGCTTTCGCTTGGGGTGGCAATGATTTCAGCTAAAATATCCTCTCCTTCGGAGGTATCTGCATCATCCTGGTCGGCGTCTGTGGCTGCGATCTCGGCCAGGTCGGCGATGCGGTCTGAAATCTGCTCGAGCGTCTCCCGCTTACGAACCAGATCAGACTGGAGCTCCTGGCGGCGGGCGTGGATTTTGATAGAGAGAGCTCCTTGCTCAAGCTGGGTGAGGAGAGATTGAGCATGGCGGATGTTTTGCTGGACCCTCTCCCTTTCGTACTCGCTGGCGCGGAGGCGGGCTTCACGCTCGGCGTCCGCACGGAGGATGTTTTGTTGAAGACGGTCAAGAAGGCGGTTGAGATCTGTAAATGTGTCTGCGGGTTTAGCTACGGGAGCTGAGGTCCCGGAGTCTTGTGATAATCGTGCCATTATGTTGCAGGTTCGAATCGGCGGGGTGTCCCGTTTGAGAGTTGAACGACGTGGATGCCAGCCGAAGCAGACTGGAAATGTGGCGGGAGCTATCCGGTCTTGGCTTGCGGCTGACATCACTGGTCAGCGGGAGACCCTAACCCTGGATCTGCATGTCTTGGTCGGGGTAACCAGGAACTGCTGCGTTGCAATTGAAGGGGAGAAAGTACTACCTGTCACATGGAAAAAAAAAGTCAAACACCATGATGTCTCTTCTCGTTGAATTCGACGCCTCCATTCGGGCGATGGAGGAGGTCCAGGGTTAGGGTCAACGCATTGCTCTACTTCAACAAGTCAAAGCTCTGAGAGTGCCTTCCCAGGTCCGGACCCTCCAAGTTTGCTCCTCGCCCGTCCTCCGCCCTCTTTTGTCAATTGCAACCGTGGTGATGCCAAAATAAAAGACGCCGCGAGGTATCGCTCACGATGAGGTCCACTCTGGCTCGGGCGCTTTTGACCGCTGCTGGCCGCAGTTTCATGCAGTCGAGAGCTTTTGCGCCAAGAGCTTCACAGAGCTTAAGCTTGAGAGCCACAACGCTGGGCGTTAGAAGCTTATCCACCACACCGCGCCTACGCAACCTCGAAGACGAGCTGGAGAGAAAATGGTCCACGCCGTTGGCCAAGCGGTTGGCCGATGCTATTTCGGTCCGTCATGGGTAGTTTTGGTCTCAAAGAGCAATGGCTGACCGTTATCAAGGCGACTGGACCAGTCCCACTGGCCAGCTTCATGCGCATGTGTCTTACGGCTGATATCGGTGGCTACTACACCGGTGCCATTGAGGAAGGCCGCGACCAGTTCGGATTGAAGGGTGACTTCGTCACGTCTCCCGAGATCTCCCAGGTCTTCGGCGAACTAATTGGCATCTGGTTTGTCACCGAGTGGATGGCCCAGGGCAAACAGAGCCAAGGAGTTGAGCTTATCGAGGTTGGCCCTGGACGAGGCACCCTCATGGATGACATGCTTCGAGTACGTTCTGCAGCATGTCAACGACTTGTACTTGCTGCTGACACGACACATAGACGATCCAAAAATTCGGCAAGTTGGCTAACAGCATCGATGCCGTCTACATGGTCGAAGCCAGCCCTCAGCTCAGGGAGGTGCAAAAGAACCTCCTTTGCGGAGCGGATGCACCCATGACAGAATCCAAGGTTGGATACCACAGTGTTTGCAAGTACATGTCCGTCCCTATTGTGTGGACAGACACTGTCAAGTCCATTCCCAATGGTAGGTTGCTGCGCCCCTATTTATTCTTGGAGAGTGTCTAATACCGCATAGCAAGCGAGAAGATGCCTTTCATCGTGGCCCACGAGTTCTTCGACGCACTCCCCATTCACGCCTTTCAGTGTGTCGAAGTACCCGCCACACAGGACATCAAGCCCTCACCATCGGACCTCTCCTCCCCGTCCACTAGGACCAGCCAACCTACCGTTCAGTGGCGGGAGATGCTTGTCTCACCCACACCTCCTGGGTCAACCCACGACTCCCTTCGCACACCTGCTTCCCAGTCTCGGGAAACGCCACCCCCCGACTTCCAACTCACCCTCGCCCAGGCCAACACCCGTCACTCTCTCTACCTCCCTGAATCATCACCGCGCTACCGCGCCATCAGGTCCCAAGTCGGTCCTGGCGCTCTCATTGAAGTCTGTCCTGACGCAGCCCTCTACGCTACCGACTTCGCTGTGCGCGTTGGCGGTTCTGCCCAATACCCCAAGGCAAAGCCGAAAGGCGCCGCCCTCATCCTCGACTACGGCCCGGGCGACGGCACTGTTCCCACGAATTCCCTACGTGGCATCCGCCGCCACCGCCGCGTGTCCCCTTTCGCCGAGCCCGGTCTCACCGACCTCAGCGCTGATGTTGACTTCGCTGGCATTGCTGAGTCCGCCCTCCGTGCGAGCGAAGGCGTTGAAGTTCACGGCCCAGTCGACCAAGGCACCTTTTTGAATCTCATGGGCATTAAGGAGCGCGCTGAGATGCTCATCAGGGCAGCCGCAGCCAATGCGAAGACGGACGAGGCGAAGCAGCACGCCTCAGACATTGAAAAGGCCTGGATGCGCCTCGTAGATCGCGGACCGGGCGGCATGGGTAAAGTGTATAAGGCGCTCGCAATCCTACCGGAGAATGGAGGATGGAGGAAACCTGTCGGGTTCGGCGGTGATGTTGTGGTTTGAAATTCACACACCAACCCGCTCAATGTATAATAGTTGATGTGCCTTGCGTTGCCCACTTCTCTTGCAGAACGTTGATGGCCTGTAGATTACATACCCACGTGTTTTGATGATCCTCACACCGTGGACCCTTCCGCAAAATGAATGCATGAAAAAAAGTCCTTCCTATTGACTGAGTGAGGCAAAACTGAACCTCATGATGAGAGTGGGATTCAAACCCACGCCCTTTCGGACTACGGAATCATTCTCCACGGTGATTGAGAGGATGTTATTAAGGAATACCTTAACGTAGCGCCTTAGACCGCTCGGCCATCTCACCCGTTGATGTCTTTTGGCAACGGGGTTTCTAGTTGGTGTGTGGCCCGCGGGGATGATGCGAGTCAGGGGTACACGAAGGCGAGACTCAGGGGTGGAGACACGACCTTTCTCGGCCACGTACAAGGACTATAGAACTCAGAGCCAAGCGCGTCGATGTTCATGTGTCCACGCAATGTGTGTGAAAATGCTACGTGATGCGACCCAATACAAGTCATCCCGATCCAACGACGCCCACAAAGATTAAAACCGGCATAACGAAAACAACAGCTGGAGCCATATTCCTATAGATACACTGTACTCTTTTCAATCCTCCCTCATCGTTTTACCCTACCTCCATACGCGCCTCTAAACCGCCCAAATTCTCGTCATCCGGCCTCCCAGCGTGTTTCATCCGTTCGTCTATCTATTTCTTCACCCGTTGTACAAGGGTTGACTCCTCGCCGCTACCTTCGTCGTCGGAGAACTTATCGTCTTCGCCGACAGCGAAGATAGTTTCGCCATCAAGGGAATCCCTCGGTGGGCTGGCAGCTCTTCTGTGCTGCTGTTGAGACTGCGTTGCGCTGGTGGATGCACCGAACTGAACCGATGGTTGCTGCTGCTGCTGCTGTGGTTGTGCGCCGCCGTTAGACGTAGCAGTGGCACCGTTCTGAGCCTTGGACCCAACGTGAGCCTCCTCGTCGTCAGAATCATCGGGATTTCCGATGTCCAGGTTTGCAATCTCGAAAGTACCATCGTCCTCCTGTGCGATCTCGTCAGACATGGCGAAGCGGCGATTGTTGGCGGTGGGGCGCCAGACGTAGGCAACCCATGCGACGTCGGCGAGGTAGACAAGGTTGGGCCAGCCGTCAAGAACAAACCAGCGGCTCTTCCAGTGGAAAGGGACGTATCCGGGGTCACCCTTGGCGGTGACGAAGGAGAAGGAGTTGAAGAAGAAGAACGCAAAGATGACCATGATAGAGAGCAGAATGCACCACCACAGCTTGCGATACATGGACTCCTTGACATGCTGCTTGCGCTCACGGAGGTCCTTGAGCGTGAAGTTGAGGGAGTTGAGCGTCCAGACGTAAAATGCTGTCAAGGTGCCGGCCAGAGGGAGGACGATGAGCAGGACGAACGGCCCAGCATTGTCGGGGGTGACGACGAGCCCAGTGATGGCGTACACAAGGCCGAAAACGAAGTGAACAATAGCCAACCACCGGACGTAGATCATGGTCTTGCCGAGAGTAGGCTTGACGACGCCATACCCCATGCAGACAATGAGGAGCAGGAAGAAGGAAAAAGAGTTGCGCCCCGCGTTGAGGATGGCAACGATGATGAGCAATACTTTTGAGCCAATGTTGGATCCGTTCCTGTTCAGATAGTCTGCGTGTTTGTTAAAAAACGGATCCCGCCCAGAAAGAACCATACCGACTCACCATAGAAGCCCCAGGTCATAAGCATCTCAATAACGAGGAAGATGAGGATTGCGGTGATGTAGTTTTGGACCGCCACTAAACACCTGTCAGCATTACAACTCAGCGGGGGAAAACACATGCGGCAACCTACAAATATCGGCGCGATGTTGGAAGTAGAGGAACCCCCAGAACGCCAAAACAAGCGCATAGAGAATCGTGATTCCTCCATAAAATGGCAATTTCGGGATCTGAGTGGCAGGCAGCTCGCCGTAAGCGTTGCGGAACTCGACCAGAGCTTCATACTTCTCAGCCGAAGCACCCCCCGTGGTGATGACGCAGTAGTACCCTGTCTTTGTGATGGGGTAATTGATTGGCTTCGAGTCCTTGAGGTGGATAGCCTTGGTGAGGATGACGTTTCTCGAGAGGTCGGTAGCGTTGGGCGCCAGGATGAATTCGCCAATGTCGGTCTCGTTGCAGTAGCCCTTGACCACCTGCTCTTTGTGACATATCTCCTGCTTGCTACCTCCTCCCTCGGGTGTAATGCCGACGTAGTCCAGATCCATCCACTCAATCATCAGCAAACTGACCACGGGGTCATCGCCCAAGTCCTTGCCCGTATCGGTGAACTTGACCAGGATGAACGGGTCAACCGGCCCGCCCCAAGAGCTCCTGCTGTACATTCCTGATGACTCGGGGTCAGATTATCGCACCGGAAGAACATGTGAGTGTCGGAACCTACCGGCGCATCTCTCGTTGTTATCCTCTGTGTTGTCCTGTATTCAAGTATCAGCCAAGCCCGCAGTCTCCGATGTCTTCAGCGCGGACTTACCAACTTGACTTCCAGCGCCTGCGCCGTACATGCTGCTAGAACCAGCAGGAAGAATGAACATGCCCAACTCCTCATGACTGATTATTCGTGCGGTTTTCTCGCCGGCGTGGCGTAGCTTGTCGCTTGGCGCGAAAACGAGTCTCGCGGACTCAGGGGCGACGTGTTCGTTTGGAAGGTTGGAAGGGCTGGAGTGCAACGCTCATCTGCCCTCGATGGAACGTTTCTACCGTCGGTGATGAAAATCCAGTCTTCACCAAGGCCCGTTGAGAGTTACGTTTGTGGGAGCGTCGAAGGAACACGACAGCCTGATGGCTCTGGTGAAGGTTAACTAACGGCGACCTTAACTAATGCGCCGTCGAATTGACGCCAAGATGAGACCCACACATCGCAGCGCCGCAAATACGTACCCCTGCACCTGCCAACATTTGACGATAAGAGATAACACCCACATTCACCTCAATCAACAACTCCCCAGCTCTGCGCGACGGTGTCCCCTCAGCGACAATGGGCAAGGGAACCGACAAGCTCTACATCACGCATAAAGAGTGGTCATCGGCCGATGCATATAGCGCCAGTGTAGGCGCCAACGCTGGGGCGCGCGCCGCGAAGGGGAACGGCGCAGTGGGAGCCAGCTTCAAGCGCCTACCCTTCAACTTTTGCGCCGCAAGCCTCCAGCCATTCAAGAATCCCGTTTGCACTCCGGACGGCACGATATTCGACGTCGAGATCATTTCGACATGGCTCGACAAACACGCGACCAATCCCGTGAATGGCCAGCCGCTTGCGGCCAAAGACCTGATTAAACTCAACTTCGCGCGCAACGCGGACACGACCACCACGACCGACAAAACTGGCATCCCGAGCGACGGAAAGGGCGATTACATCGACCCGGTCAGCTTCAAAGTCTTCACTGACAACACCCACATCGTCGCTGTGCGTCATGGCACCTATGCCAATGTCTTCACCTGGGACACGGTCGAGCGCATGAACATCAAGGCCAAGATGTGGCGCGACCTGGTAGATGACGTCGAGTTTGGTCGCAAAGACATCATCACCCTCCAGGACCCCCAAAACGCCGGTAGCCGCGACTTAAGCCAGTTCAAGTTCATTCAGGATGGCCAAGAGGCGCTCCTCACCCCGGACCAAGAGGCTGAGCGCAAGGCGGGGTCCGTCAACGTCGCCGCCCTGGGGCGCATCGGCGAGAAGGTTCTCCGTGCCAAAGAAGCGGTTGAGCGCGCTCGACAGCAACGAGAGTCCAGCGGCGACGTCAACCGGACCAACAAATCTCTTACCAAGTCCACCTCCGTCGCCCCCATTCGCCCATCCCTCATCCAAGAGAAGAAGCTCGCCCACAACGCCGCGACCTATACCACCGGAAAAGCTGCCGCCTCCTTCACCTCCACCGGCCTCACACCCTCCACATCGGGTGAGCGCGCACTCCTCTCCGACGAAGAATGGATGCTCAAACCGAAGCGCGTCAAAATCCACGGCTTCGCCCGCATCGAAACCACCCTCGGCGATCTCACCCTCGAGCTCCTCCCTGAATTCGCCCCCAAGGCCGTCTGGAACTTTACCCGCCTCGCCCAGCGCGGCAAGTACCGATCGGTCCCCTTCCACCGCTCCATCAAGAATTTCATGATCCAAGGCGGCGACCCAACTGGTACCGGCCGCGGCGGGGCCTCCATCTGGGGTACCAACTTCGCCGATGAACTCGAAGGCCCCGTATCCCATGACATTCGTGGTGTCGTCTCCATGGCCAACAAGGGCAAGAACACCAACTCCTCCCAATTCTTCATCACCTACCGCGCGGCCAAGCACCTCGACAGGAAACACACCATCTTTGCCAAGGTCATCGAAGGGCTGGACACCACCCTCGCCGGGATGGAAGCCGCGCCTACAGATGAGGCGAACCGCCCTTTGAATGAAATCCTCATCAAGGATGTCATCGTTTACGTGGATCCCTTCGAGGAGTTCCTCAAGGAGAAGAGCAAGAAGGACACTGAAGAGAAGGCCAAGGCGGATATAGCACGGCAGGGAGGGACGGAGGATGATAAGATAACATGGACGGGGAAGAGGATACGCACAGGAAGCGAAAGGGATAGGGACGGCGGGTCGAGCGCGGGGAGTGTAGGGAAGTATTTGAAGGGGGCGAGTGCTAGGACTGGGGGTGGAGCAAGCGGGACTGGGAGCGGAAGTGTCGATACATGGGAGGAACAGCCTAGGAAGAAGGTGAAGACGGGTGGGTTTGGGAATTTCGATGGGTGGTAGGGACTCGAAGGTTGGGAGAGGAAAAAGTGTCAAGATTCAGTTTATCATGCAAGGTAGGACGGAGTCCGGCGTTGGTGTTCGCCTTGTAATACCAAAAAGGAGAGACTAGAACGGTATTGCATAACACGGGTTACTACAGCGCAGTTACCGCAAAGATGAGACATATATATATATATATATATCTACTAAACTGCACACAGGCATCATCGTCATCGCTTTTGCTCGCGGCTGTCTCTAAGCATCATGTCTTTCACAATGCGCCCGTTTCATCCCGTCCCTTTTATAACCAACTGGTATAGAACAGGCCCGCTCCGTAATCCTTTACGTTCCCACAAAAACACCCCTTTGATAGATAAACAATGTACAAGAAAATTCAGCCAAAGTGGTGAGGTATGTGATATATAAGAGACACTGCTTTTTTTCTTCAAGCCAGGAGCCAGTCAACCTCGGCTCGTTCCCTCTCCAGCTGCAACCCTTCAAGCTGCAGGTCGTACTCCTCGAATTTCATCA